ATATTACCACTAGAGTGTGCTGTGGTTTAAAAGTTTTAAAGCCTGCCTTTTCTTCCTGCCATTGCAGGGCCTCTTCTTTCCATCTTCTCCTCTCTACTCTCTGCTCCACCAGCAGCTGCTCATTCTGAGCAGTCAGCTCCTGTAGCACACAGTGTGACTCAGACTGTTTGCTGTGTATACAGCACACTGGAGTTATATCCTCTACTTTTCAGCCACGTGTGCACAGAAATAATGATTAGTGATTTTAAATGTTTGCTTTAGAAACACAAAAAGGAAAGGCTGCAAGAGTAAAAGGAAGGTTTGAAAACTTATGACTGACTGTGACTTTCTTCTCCCAGTCGGCTTTCTTCTTTTCCACATTGTTACGATAGACCTCCAAGAATCTCCTCAGGGTATTCAGTTTGTTCTGATAGTGAAATGTGACTTTTTGCTTGATCCATTCCTGCTAACACATGCAGAACTTCATTGGTGATTAAGTTTAATTTTACAGATACACGCTACTTTCTACTTTTTTCACCTGTGATTCCTGAGTTTTGGTCTGGAAATTCGCCTCTAGTTCCTGTACTGTTTGCAGATGCCTTTTCTTCATTACTTTCATGTCCTCAACAATCTGTTTGTGCACAATATGTTGCAAGTAAGCCCAAATATACAAAACTTCATCTTTGACCGCCTGTCTTCAAGGTAGCATCTTGAGGGCAACCATGTGAGTGTGAGTAAGAAAAAAACACAGCACATCTGACTGTAGCTTCATTGTTTTTACCCATGTGCTCACAGTTGAACAACTGCACAAAGACGTCATGATGTTTGCCTGACTTTCAGCAATGAATGCTTTAAGGCAGGGGTGTCAAACTGGTTCCAGAAAGGGCCGTGTGGCTGCAGGTTTTCTTTCCAACCAAGCAATAGGACACCAGACTCCAGTCATCTCATCTTAGGGAGTCCAATCTGAATATGATGACCTAATGAGATGACTGGAGTCTGGTGTGCTATTGCTTGGTTGGAAAGAAAACCTGCAGCCACACGGCCCTTTCTGGAACCAGTTTGACACCCCTGCTTTAAGGAGATGCAAATGAATTTTTTTTTGTGTGTGTGTTTGTGTTCACTTTAATTTACATTAGTTATAGTTAGTCTTTTAGAGATGTACGCTACCTTTTTTTTTTTACATTATGTTGTTTAAATCCTGAACATTAATGTATTTGTTGGATTTTTTTCTCATAGCCAAATAAAGAATAGTTCAAAACTGTGCAGCAAAGGATGTTCATTTATTTCTTATATATATATATATATATATATAAAACTAAAGATAGGGCCAAATTTACTTTATGGCCCCTGGGTAAGAAAATCGAGCCACCTTCATCTGCAGTTAAAAGTCTTTAATTGTAGCCTTCTTTTAAGTTTGCTAATTCAAAAACAGGAATTTTCCCATCCTTTTTTGCAAAACGACCCAAGTTGTTTGCAGTGGCGCCAAAGTCCCTGACATGTTTAAACTTGGGACATAGTTCTAAGAATTAATCCAACACTAAACCACTGATTTGTGTTTAAGCACAATTTGTTCAGTATTATTAAAAATTATAATCTGTACTGTTATAGCAGAGATTAATTTTTTCTCAATACCAGTACACTGTTATTAAGGTGAACTTTACAGACAGCTGATTTAATGTTGTGGTATTAGACAAAACAGAGCTTAAGACAAAGGCTCCCATTTTTATATATTTTATAAAATATTGGGAAAAAAATGCTTTTCCACTATAATTTGGTTCTTGGAGTTAATCTATTACATAAAATCATATGAATACCCACTTATGGATGTAAGAAATAAAAAAGCTCAGCCTGTATGAAAGCTCTACTTGTTTTTCCTGCACTGCTACTTTACCTGAGCGATGCAGAGCTCTGCCGACTCATAGGGGATGTAAATCTTGAGGTGCTGTGAGCTCTCAGCTTCTCTGGCATCACTGCTAAATCCCAGCTGGGATTCTGATGACCCTGCATAAAAGTAAATGGGGAAGATTTAAGCAACCCCCTCAAATTGTTATCCAAAATCAACCCCTCATCAGCCATCTATGGTGTCTTGGTCCTCAAATTTTAAAGTACTTATACTCTGCTTCAGTTTTCATTCGGTCCAAATCCAGTAAATTAAATTTCAAAGAAAGAACATGTTCTGTCTCTTTAGCTCTGAACAGTTGAAAAATAGGATTTCATGTCATAGCAATATGTTAGAAGTAGGCCAATATGGGCAAATTTATCATTTGTGTCCCTTGGTTTTTTTAATCTTTGATGAAAATAAAAAATGTTAATTTTTTTCATGTAAATTACTTTTATTCAAAGCATATATCTAAAATAGTTCCTCAAACCCTCCTTCACTGATACTCACACCTCATATTATTATTTTTCTATACACCTGCGGTGATGTCTCGTCCGTTTCGTTTCCTCCTGTCTGCACCAATCCAGCGTCTAAACGCAGCCCACCTCCTCGTCCATACATTTTTGTGATGATAAATGTCTTGTGCAGGACAGGGCGGGGGTTGTTGCAACAAACACAAAGAGTTGAGGGACAAAAAGACAGAGAAGATATCATAGTGCATCAACAGGAATAGGCTATATATCTATATGGTGAAACATGATGGTGGCAGAATCATGCTGTGGTTCATCTTTCAGCAGAAAAAACTTTAAAACTGCAGCCAGATTGGTAATACAACTGGGGTCAAGCTTATTAAATACATCATAAAGTCTGGGGCTGGTTGCTGGCATATAAATTTAACATTTGACTTCATCATTACTGCAACGGTATTATGACTTTAAACCCCTTTATTTTGCAGTTTTAGCCACTTTGTACCCTTTAAAAGGACACATGCCTTTACTTTATGACATGATAGACAATTTTTGCTCTTGAAGGCTGGATAGATAGCTTTGATAGGCTGGATAACATGTGGTTTAGAGCAAGGCCCATTCATGCATTACATTGGTTCAATCAAAGGTCAGACCTAAATCTCACAGAGAACCGAAGGCAAGACATCAAAATTATTATTCACAGAAAAGTCCATCCAGACTGAATGACCTTAAAATATGTCGCCAAGAATAATCTGTAAAAAAATGTAGCTTGTTGATTTGCAAAGCACTTTAACAGTGTTTGATCCAAAATGTGCTTTAACATTTTTCCAGACTTTTTTTTTTCAATAGTATCAGCCTGTATACTATTTGCAATAACTGATAGCATATTATGTCTTTTGTTAATTTTCTGACTATTTTGTGTCTATTTTAACATAATATATTAATAGTAAACAGAATTTGACTTCATCATTTATTAACTATTGAGCGAATTTTGTTCCATTATTGTTGCAAACAAAGAACATGTATGTAAATGTAAATTTAAAAAACAACAACAATAAAAATGCAATCAAGAAAGGAAACCTTGAAAAACCTATAATTAAAAGAAGGTTGTGGGAGTAACATCCGGTTTTCTCAAATTTTCTCTTCTATTTTTTTTTAACATTTATTTTTATTTTATTTTTTTTTTTTTTTCAAATTGAATTTCGCTTCAATTTTCATGGTCAAGTTTCCTACAGAGTGACAAATGAAGACACATTTTTATTGGCCTGCATGGCAATAGCAATAACATTTGTACAGTCAAGAGTAAATGTTTGTATTGCATTTGAAGTAAAGATGCATGTGAAAAGCAGTTTAAAAAAAGAATGCAAATGATAAGACTTAATCTTAAAAAGGGAAATCTGAAAAAAAATTAACTGAAAAAAAAAAATAAAAGAAGGAAAATTTAACTTAGAATACAGCAAAGTTCCTTCTGAAAAAAAAGCTTGTTTTTGTTTTTTAAAGTTGCATTTCTTGGATTGCATTGTTTTCAGATTTCCATTTACAAAACTTGTTTTTTGCAACAATAATAAAATACAGTAATGATCAACTTGAATCATCTGTCTTTAAAACAGGATCAGATCAATTCTTTATCTTTGTATATATGATTTGGAAGTTTTCTTTTGAATATTGCCTTGAGATGTTTTTTGTGAATCAGAAATAAAATAAGCTGAACTTTAGTGGACCACAGAACAGTTTTAGCAAAGTTAAATAAAATAAAATACAAATACAAAATGACAAACATTTCTGTTGGGTAATGTCTCCCACCCCATGCATGTTTTCTTGCTGAAATGGAGAGCTCCTTCAGTGACAGACTGCTGCACCCGAAATGCACCAGGGAACGTTATCACAGATCCTTCCTCCCAGAAGCTGTAATACTTTATAACTAATCTCTGTTCCCAACAATCTTAAGTTGTTTTATCAATTCTTATTTTTGCACAGTTTCTGTCTTAGTTAAATAACATGGTTCTGTTCTTTTTTGCACATCTCTGGTGTTGCTGATATTTTCCCCTAATCCATTACTGTTAAAATGGCCACAACTGTATATTGATTTTTTTATTCTCCAGATACAGAGTATTTATATACGGTAATAAAAACACTGAACCTTACAATACTTTAGTGTTTTATTTTCTTATTTGTTACTTTTATAAACTTTTTTAAGGTTCACCTTGTGTGACCGCATCTGCAATAACAGTTTGCTGCTGCTGTAGCACCACAATTTCCGCATTGTGGGACAATAAAGGGATCTATTCTATTCTATTGTATTCTATTCTGACTAGCATTGTGTGTGAAAACATATTTTTGTGAAAATAAATTAGTTTAACCAATTAATGAACATGAACACTTCTTTTTTTTTTTAGGAAAAATTCAGAGACAAATATCCAATAATGTGGCGATTAATTGAACCTTGCCATTAGACTTCCAGTCATACATAAGCCCTGGTAAAGGACTTTTTGCCCTTATTTCCTGGTTATTACCTCCGTTTTACAAGCTAAGTGAAGTTATTATGATACATTTATTTAGTGTTTTAGTACTGCAAAGCAACCTCTACTTTATGGTTGCATTGTCTTGTGAAACATTTATAGTTGTTTTATTAGTTCAATCTGAGAAAAAGAATAAACACATACATTTCAAGAGGATCACATTTTATTTGAGATTAATTGTACAGTTTCATAATAACAGTGTGTTATAGTGTGTGCAGTTAAAACGTGATTTACATTTCTCATAATGGTACACAGAAAAGAGCAGTATTTAATTTTCATATCAACAAAAATGTTAGTTGCCGTTTATGTTTTTAGCTTAAATTTAAAACACTGAATATCTCCACCAAGTAGCATACTTTGAGTCTTTCATCACTCTCTATCTCACATTCCCATCCCATCCCCTCTTTGTTTTCTGGTACAGGAATCTAGGCGTGTCGTCATGCAGTTACTTTCTTCTCAGAAACACCTTTCAGTAGAAAAACAGAAATCATGTCAGGAATCTGAGAGAAAGATCATATAATGTGGAAATGCAGCTGAGACCTTAGCTCCAGAGCAGACAGAAGGTTAACCCCAAAGACTGAAACTAGAGCAAAGCTGAATGAGATCAAAAGTCTGACCTGGTATGTTGTTTCTGTACTGCTGCAACTGGGAAGTGCAAAAGCTTGGACCCGGCCTCTCTTCCTTTAACTCAGGTACACTGCCAGGTAGGTTTTTCAAGCCCTGATCTTCTGCTGGGATATGACTAGCCTGAGTGGGCAGCACAGGCTCCTCAGTTGACTTGATGGTTGTTTCCCAGGCAACTGAGACAGAAAACAACATTCAGATGATCCAACTGGATAAAGTGATATATATATATATATATATATATATATATATATATATATATATATATATATA